AGAGAGAGACAGACAGCGAGAGAGAGAGAGAGAGAGAGAGAGAGAGAGAGAGAGAGAGAGAGAGAGAGAGAGAGAGAGAGAGAGAGCTTGGTGACATTTGGATCCAGACTCAACATTGGGCTTCAGACATTTTGACGAGGGATTATTTGGGACTTGTAACCAAGACTTGGTGTTGACGATTTTCCCATCTCCCCCCTCCTCTTCTTCGTCTGTCTCCCTCCTCTTCGTCTGTGCATGGTCTGGACATGGCGCCTTCTTCCTGTGTGTAGCGCCAGGCCCCTTCACACTTTGTGATAAGGCTGATGTATGATTGGTCTGTAATGCGACATTGATTGGGCTAGTCATTGGTATTCTAGCATTCTGCTCCACTGTCTCCTGCTACGTGAGAGAGGTCAGTCCCGGTCAGGTCAGGACTTGTATCTAACTCTTCCACTGCGCTATAACACACCATTTTGTATGTATCAGGATGTACACTGCTTGTTGAGATTTCACTAGCACTGCATTGTCCATTCAGTCCTTTTCATCACATTGAGGATCCTTGGTTTTTATATGTACATCGCCCAACTGGGCATGTAACACAATGTGCGAGTGAAAAACTGCAATACCCCCTAGGATGCTACATCATTGCCCTTCTCCCCTGTCCACTCAGGCAGGGACAGGTGAGGGTTACTTACAGAACAGTTGTGAAGGTAGTCAAGACCTCTTGCAGTTTCAAGTGATATCTGCAAACGCTTCTGCCATGATAGTGTTGCCCCATTCTTCCCTGAAACAGCAAATGGCCTCCCATCCCCTCTCAACTCCCACCCCATCCAGACACACACACACGCACATGCACAACACACACAACACACACACACACACACACACACACACACACACACACACACGAGTTTCAAATCATTCAGAAAAGAAAGGGATTCGAAAAAAGGATCTCAGCAAACAACACAGGCAGCTAGATTTCAATTTTCTTTCTCTCGTGCTCTTTTCTTTTTTCTGTTTCATATCCTCCCTTTTGTTTTGTTGGGTCCTATTCCACTCCTATCGTCCTGTTTGTTCTTTTATTATGTTCATCTGGTCGCACGAGGATTCAAAGTTGGGTGTGTATTTCAACAGTTCATGGGGGTACCAACTTAGCGATCGGCCTGTTCTTATCTGCATGCCATACAAATTTCGGTACAGGTAGAAGCGCACAGCTCAAGGGGGTACGTAGAAGACTTTTAGAAGTAGAGAACCCAAAAAGAAGAAGTCGAGAATGGGTAAAGAAGACTAACAAGACCAGTGGAAGGGAAAAATGATGGATCGGGATCCATTTTCTGTGGGAATAAGAAGGCCCAGTCTTCTCGGAACATCAGGCCGACTGGCGTCAACGACACACTTACCGCTCCAGTGAAGCGATCGGCAATCCTGCGTTCTGTCGTTGCAGTGCTTACAAGGTGGGGATTTCAAGGATCTGCGTCGGTATTGCTTGGAAAGATGGACAATCCTCCTGTTGATCTCAAGTTGCTTACAGAGCAGCTGAGGCTACCTGAGGAGTGGTACTGTGATGCATGCTTATCTTGGTTTCTTAGTTCACTGAACAAATGGTTGATTGTTAAACATTCACTTACTGCAATGTGCCCATCAAGTCTCATGAGAATGGCCAATGGGCCCATGATAGCGGTCAATGGAACCGTACCACTGGTTAATGAGCCCATAGCATTGGTCAATGGGCCCGCTGAAACGGTATTCACCAGTTCGCAGTAGCTGACGCAGATCCCAGGGTTCGATCCCTAGCCCTTACCGTACCTGTGTACAGTATCTGTGTAACCCCGAGAGTTGAACCCGCGACCTGTGTGTTTCGTAGCAGTTGGTAGGTCGTCGTAGGGTCCGTAGGTAGTATGGGTTTGATCTGTAGACCTGTCGGTTAGGAGTCTTAGTCAGGTCTAGATATCGTAGCCACAGCCTTTCCAAAAGGTCAAGGTCGTAGCTAGCCCAGTCCTGAAGAGTCAAAGTCGTAGCTGCGACAGGACCGAAAGGCCAAGTCCACGGCCTTCTAGAAGGGCCCGGTGGTGACCTTTCGAGGTTGCCCGCGTTTAGGCAGAGGCAAGTGGGCAAGTGGTGGAAGTCCACCGTGCAGAGTCAGCGGTCCCAGTCCAGTCAGTCCGGTCCAGTCAAGCAAGTACCGCCTGGGACTGTGTGCACCGTGGGCCAGGGAAACAGGGCAGACCGACGAGTCACCGAAGTATAAATCAAGAGGCCGCGCACAGCCATTCATTCATTCCTGCAGAAGCCATGCGGAAGCGCTGTCTCAGCGGCTTGTGCGAGGAGGTCTGCAGCTGCCCGAAGTCGAAGTGGGCAAGAGAGACGACGAGCAGCCATAGCTATAGGGTAGAGGCAGCCATCGCTGCCATAGCTGTAGTTTAGAGTGAAGTGTGCGTGTGTTGTGTCAGTGTTCAGCGTGTCGCGTGTGGGATATCCAGGGTGATCCGGTGTGTGTGAACAGTGAGTTGTTGGGCGCTGAGTCACCATAGCCAGCGGAAGTGAACTCTTATCTGGATACCGTATCTCTGAGTTCTGTGTGGGCGAATGTCGCCAGTTTGTTACGATGCTGTTTACATGCATGAAAAGTGTGAATGAGGCGAGTCTGATTGCACTGGTATCGGAGCTGGTACCCGCTATTCCATGCGTGCTGTCGTGTGCAGGGCCTGAAGCGCCATAGCGGAGGTGGTAGCCGAGGGGTACAGTCCGCCATAGCGGACCTGAGGTTGGAGAAGCCGCCGCGCACCTGCAAGAAGACCACGACGAAGAAGAAGACTGAGAGAGAGAGAGAGAGAGAGAGAGAGAGAGAGAGAGAGAGAGAGAGAGAGATGAG